AGATTGTATCACAAGGTATTGCCACTTGGATGTCATAATAGAACAATTTAATGTGCCTACTGGAAATTGCTAAAGCCCCTCTAATGTGTTGGGAAGTCTTTAAAGGCATCTGCTGAGCTTCAAGCTATAATAATTAAATTAATTGGTGATAATGGTACTGATGGATAAAATGTAGTGTTAATATTCTTCTGAAGCTGTTATATGATAGTTAGCTATCCCAGGCGATACTACTTGTTTTCTAAAAGAGAAACATTATTCTTGCAGTTGTTCTACCACTACAAGGTTTGTGGAGAAGCCGGTAGTGTCACGACTTTTTGTAGTCTTGAAAGCAAAGAACTCATTTCTGAAATTACATTGAGAAGACAGCCTACCAATTGTATTCTGTTAATCTTCAAATAAGCCTTTTTGAAAAAAGATAACACTTTTTTTATCAGTGTGTATCTTTCATGCATATCTGCTTTAGATCCATGTCAGGTTAAGCATCTGACTACAACTCTTAAAGGCAAATTATGTTACAGGAAATCAGTTTTCCTTCAATTTAGACTGACTTTACTATGACAACTCTGATTTTGAATTGTGCAAAGATACTGTGACATCCTTAACTTTGACAAAAGCATTGGTTTTGGTATCTAGAATTACTTCTTGTGAGATAAAATGTAATTTCTTGATGCTCTGAAATTCAGAAAATTGCTTAAAATATAAACGTGCTTGTCACAACTGTGTGGCTTATTCAGAGCAGTGCAATTGTAGAATTTTTTTTGTGGGTTCATACACTTCACTTTTCTAGTGGTTCGTGAAGAAGCAACATTTGAAATAAAAAATCAGATGGTGTCATGCATATCATAGCACTTTTTTTTTTCCTGAGGCAAATATAATTAAGACATATTTGTGTATTTTAAAAAAAAGTGATAATGATTTCTTTCTTTAAATGAAAGAATTGATCCTGAGAAGGTTCTTGAGTTTACTTTGAAAAGGTCTATGCATGGGACAGCATAACATTGAGTTAAGAAATAGGATGCTTAACTGAACAAGAAACTAAAATGTGTGTAATGCCTTGTGTGCAGTTAGAAAAAGTATGACCTGTTAATTCTGCTTTGATGCTTTCAATGTTGCTCGTAGCAATTGACTTGCTATTGTACATACTTTTTTTCGCATATTGGAATGTCACTGCTTATGCTAGCATGTTTGCCATTGCCATTTCACTGGATTGGAAAACCTTGCTCCATTCTTCTGATTTATAACACTTAACTAATGTTGGAGAGCAGCACAGGAATGTACAGTGCCATTGACAGTTAATTCATATGTGGTTTAGTTTCAGTTTTCACTTGTCAGTGAAATGAGGTGCTTAATATGCAAAGCAGCTTTTTACTGAACAGTGATAATTTTGAATATTATTATAACTTTCTCTAATGACTGCATATATAGATGTATATTTGATAAATTTTGGTTCATAGTTCTTTAAATTTATGCTTAACTCTTGCATAAAGTTTTATAATTCAGAAATTATGGGTGCTTTTAGCCTGAATACAGAGCAAAGCAGAAGTCCAGGGTACACTTTTAATTGGTATTTGTGTATCATGAATGTTGAATTTCATGAAAAGTAAGCATTTATCATGGAGGTATTTATTAAAAATCACTGTGATACTAACTTCATTTTGCATACAGTATAGCTGTAGACAGCATAAACTAATTCTAGAACTGTAAGAGCCAAGGAAGTGGATTTTGAAAATCATTAGTGAAAAACAATACTATAAAGAAATTACTTGTCTCTAAAATTGAATATTTAGAATAAAAATACTTCCTTAATTCTTCCTGTGCAGAGGTCTGGCTTCACAATTATCTTTTTTTCATTAAAGCAGTAAGAAGACCTGTGCAGGATGCTGTGGTATTAGTGAAGCGGGCCTTATGTTTCATTTGGACTAATATATTTAAACTGACTTCTTGTGTGGACAATTCCTACACAATTTAGGTTGACACGTGGATAATCTTAGAGTGCTGATGGCTTAACTGAAGAATATTAGGAAACTTGTGTTAGAAGTGAAACATAACTTGTATCCCTCTGTTCTTTCAGGTACTTTGAAACTTTATTTTTTGAGACCATGTGTCTTTGTTCATGTCTTGTAAATGCCTGGAGGTTTCTTGTAGGAAGTATGAGGAATGAGTTGAGGCTTGTTGAAACTAGAAGAGACAGTGAAATGCTGCTGAAAGTGGATTTGCAGTGTTGGTGAGGACTGCACAGTGGTTTGCCTCCAGGGTGCACACATGGTCTGCTTTACCATATGTTCTAACACACAGTGCCAGACAGAATTCCAGGGACCATGGTCTAAATGGCATAAGAAGTTCCAGAGTTAAAGTTTAGGTTTTTGTGGAAGACATTGATAGATATCATTGGTAGTGGTGTGATGCAGATGGCTGGGCAAAGACATTGTTCCAGCGTGTAGGTTGTAAGTTTGTGGTGAGAGGAATGTTTTTAGTTGCAGGAAACTTTTAAAATAGATGAAGCCTGTACATTACACTTAAAGCATCTAGGTTCTGTTTTTGCTTCTAATAAAACTTAAGATTACAAGGAGAATTTTAAAATCAAAATTTGAGAACATTGATAAGTATGGAGGTGCTTACAATTCAGTAATGTATGCTCTCTTCAGATAGAACAGAAGTGTACAGGTTGAGGAATGAAGTTGCCAAGAGTACATTTAGGTAAAGTCATGGTTGGAATGCTCAAAGTAAATGTGTGCCCAATTAAAAAAAAAAAAAAAAGAGCTCCTAGAAAATCCTAAAACATCTCAGCACTAAAACAATAGAGAAGGTTTCTGCCAAAAAAAGGTAAAATTAAATTATGTATTAAATCTAAACTGGTAGTAAGGTTAAGTAACAAAGCTTTTGAAGAACAAATGTATAAGACTTGAAAACTATTTAATTTAAAGAAGCAGAGAAGCCAGAATCATTTAGATAATTTTGTGATTATAAAGATACAAGTATGTAAGGGGGTACAGAAAACCCCAGCTGAAATGTGAGACTGTAATGAGGGAAGGAAGAAAGTGTTTGGTTTTGTCCTTCTTAGGAAGAAATGCCTTATTATGGAGAAGAAATTACAATTTTAGGGTTTTAACACTAAGATGATGGATAAGGTAAGGTAACATTTAAGCTGAGTCTTGTATTTTGGATTTTTTTAACAAATGTTGTATGAAACCTATTGCTTAATTAGTCTTGCTTTCAGAGGACTGGAGGGTAGCAAACTGAATTTAAAAAAAAGCCAAACAGTTCTGAAGTAACTTCTTTTTTCCCTATTGCATACACTGACTGGGATTAGAATAAGCTGATTTAAAACAAACAACTAGATAAATTTAGGAGGAGGTGACATGGTTAGGTAAGGAAAGCTCATATCTTAGAAATTGTAGGTGTATGAGGAAGTGGGTGAAAGTGATATGATCTGTGTATATCACCTTGTCAGCTGCATTTTGAAAATGTTATTTGCTATGGACTCATTTGCTATGGACTCTTCCTATAATATGACATTCTGTATATGATAAAGGTTCTCTTGTGATTCAGTAGTTACTTTGAAAAGCTGGTGAACAGATTAAAGTGATGAGTCAGCCCCCAATGGGGGAGGCCTTTGGTAGAGTGCCTCCTATTTTTAAAAAACTAATCAAGGGGAGGGGACTAATAAACAATTTGTCAACCTACAAAGTCTTAGCAATTGTTAAAGTATCTCTGCAGCAGATTGCAGAAGGATCTCATTTTAGTAAATGGGAAATAAAATGGCATATTAGGGCTGGTGTTAAAGTATTATGTGTTAAGATAAAAATGAATGCATACTTAGTGATGATTTCTTGATTCTCATTACTGCATATAAAGATCTTTGAATTACTGTAGACTATTCTATGAAAATACCAGGTGAAGAGAGTTTGAAACAGTGGATAAACTCCTTGAAAGCAAATCGAGAACAAATACCAAAACTTTATCATGCTGCGCTGTGAAACAGTGCCATGTTTTCATCTAG